GAATCATATAGCCCAAGTTCTCCATTCATTTCTATGTGCTACATAGGTTCAGAATGTGGTGGAAGCCACTTGGTGCCTTCTTCTGCTTCAAGGAGTTGCAGGCAAGTGGCAGCTCCATTTGTGTGCACCCTGAACCAGGTTGGTTCTCTGAACTTCCTATTTCCACTTTGCCTGTGAGCTCTTGGGCACCATCAGCATAGTTACAAACTCCATATGGAGATCGATGGCATTCCTCCAGGGCCCCACATGCCTCTGTAGGGTTTGGAGGCCACAGACCAGCTGGCTGTAAATCAAAGCCCTGCCTGCACCAGCCAGGGGAGAGCCTAGCCACTGCTCTATCTACCAGAGCAGGAGAGGGAATCCCAGGGAACAAGCCAGACCCCAATTCCTGTAATTACTTATTGACCTGAGCATCTCCACTTGTACCTTCAGGGAGAAAATCTGTTTGCCATTCTGGAGCACAACCACCCAGACGGGATGATCACACTGCCACCAAGGAGATTGTTTTTCAGGGCAGTAACATACCCATCCCTGCACAAGCTTTGGATCTGACAAACCTGTTACTGAAAGGCCCTCAGTACCCTTCCACAATGGTCACTCACTTTGCACACCCAGGTTTCTTACAGAGCCTGTGCTACGAGGCTGTCCCGGGTTCAGCAGTAGCACTCATTTGTTCTCCTTCCTAGTAGCTGGTGCAGCGCTGTGGTTTTCACTTTCGGCATGGGAACAGCACTGATAACACCGATGTTTTTAGTTACTGCTCAAATGTTTACTCTGACCAAGGACTTTGTGAGCCTCATGCTCTGCCAGGGAGGAGGGGAAGCCGGGAGGAAGCAGAGACAGGACACCTGACCCAAACTGACCAAAGAGGTATTCCATAGCACAGCACGTCATGCCAGGATGTAACTGGGAGTTAGCCGGAAGGGCGAGTTCACTGCGGGGTCAGGCTGGGTATCGGTCGGCGGGTAGTATTGTATTCTCTTCCCCTGTTATTCCCTTTATCATTATTATTATTGGTGCTAGCAGTAGTGACTTGTGTTATACCTTAGTTACTAAACTGTTCTTATCTCAACCTATGGGAGTTATATTCTTCCGAATCTCCTTTCCATCCCTCCAGGAGCAGGGGGAAGAAAAGGGCGGGGGGGAGTGAGAGAGCAACTGCGTGATTTATGGCTGACTGGGTTTAAACCACAACAAGAAGACAATGCAGCTCTCTAGCAACTTCTGCTGCCTTCCCCATCCTGTTGCCAGGAGATGGGCATCACGCATAGAACCCTTATGGAACCCTCATGGAACACTGATGTCACAGTGATGCTGGAGGACTTGAGGGGCCGCTGGGGCCACAGCCCTTCAGTCTGCTGAGCAGCAGGACCCAGTCTGGCTGCTCAGGGGACTTCTGGAGCCAAGGGCAGGAACCAAGTGGTTTTGGAGATGTCTTCAGGAGAAGCATCCTCAGCTTCGGCCATGCCTCGAAGAGGTGACACGGGAGCACCTTGGGCTGCTGCCCCCGCACCTCCCTCAAAAGAAAACTCCCTTCAGGGTTTGCCTGATGAACCCTGGGCCCTGACCATGCAATTTTGTGTTTCAGAGACCTCTGCACCCAAATCCTTCCCATTCTTCCTATGGAAGCTCGTCACCTGCTTCCAGTTCCACTCCATTTGGTGGGGGAACAACGGGAGCTGTGTGGTTATCGCAGATAACCTCTTTGAAAGAGAAGTGCTTGGGAAGAGGGGAGCACGTCGGGGCCTTCAGGCTGAGAGCATGAATGAGTTCCTCGACCGGCTCCACCTCCACGGGTTTTATAGGATGGAGGAGGACATGGTGATATCTGTGCCCATCAGGGAGCTGCGGGCAGTAGCAGCAGGGCCTGCTCTGGGACAGGTACGTTGGTTCCTCCGCACACAAAAGAACCCTCAATCATCCTGTGGCAGCTGCTCAATGCTGACAAGATCCACGGCAGCACCACCATTATTCCCAACAGGCCCATGCCACACTCAGGTGCTCTAAAACAAGGCCTGTCTGGGTTTCTCCATTGGATTTTAGGCTTTTGAAGACCCTACACTCCTCTGCTCCCAGCAGCTGGAAACACAAGGGTGGTTCTGACTGACCAAAACTCTACCCTCACATTGCATTCAGCCAGAACAGCTGAGCTTTAAAATGCCCCAGAAAGTCCTTTTGAACACCCGCGGGTGCCTTTTCCGATGCAGATGCCCAGTTACCGGATCTCTGTCTCTCTCCTCCTTGCACCGATGCCAACTGACTCCTCCCCTTTGCATTTTGTAGCTGCTCTTCTTCTACCACCCCTACTTCCAACGGGATTACCCCAACCTCAGCAAGATCCAGAGGATGGCAGAAAGAGCCATGGAGCAGCTGAGAGCGGCCACTGCAGCCCCGCCGGGCACCAGCGTCAAGGGCACCAGGCAGAGGAGACGCCAGCGTGGTGCTGAGCCTGGTGCAGGAGCTGCAGAGGAGCAGCACAACACCCAGCCCTCTGCAGCCACCCGCTCCACCCGCACCAGGCTCAGGGCTGCTGCACCCACCCCAACAGACACCAGTGGCCCCTCTGCCCCAAAACGTAGGCGTAGGTAGATAGGAATAGCAATAGAGTAGAGATAGGGTATAGGTTAGTGTAGGAGTAAGTTACAGTTGTTGGGGTTTCAATAGGGTATAGGTTAGTGTAGGAGTAAGTTACTGTTGTTGGGGTTTCAATAGGTTATAGGTTAGGATAGGAGTAAGTTACTGTTGTTGGGGTTTCAATAGGTTATAGGTTAGGATAGGGGTAAGCAGCTCTGTTGTTTGTTCTTCTCTAGAATTAACTTCTCTTAGAATCATAGAATTATAGGATAGTTGTAGTTTAGTTTAGTTTAGTTGTAGGATAGTTAGGGTTGGAAAGGATTTTAAGAGCTTCTAGCTCCAAGCTCCCTGCTATGGACAATGACACTGCAACCAGACCATGGCTCCCAAGGCTCTGTCTCACCAGGACTTGAACACTGCCAAGGATGCAGCATTTACCACTTCCCTGGACACCCTGTGCCAGCACCTCAGCACCCTCACAGGGAAGAATCTGCCTCGTTCCTCAACTGAACTTCTCGTGCTCCAGTGCAAACCCATCACTCCTTGTCCTATCGCTGCAGTCCCTGATGAAGGATCCCTCTCTGGCACCCTCGGAGGCCCCTTCACACACTGGAAGCTGCTCTGAATAAACATTTCTGATCTAAATGGCATCATTTCTCATCAATAAAAGCTGCCGTGTGCTGTCTCTGCAGTCTCACAGTCGCTGTCTCCACACCTGGGCCGGGGGTTGCCTTCAGGGACATGAAGGGTTTGGCTCCAGACACAAAAGCCAAAGGTCCCAGTTCAATGTCAGAGGCTCTGCCCGTGCTGTTCTGCAAGGCAGGGGAGCGCAGGAGCAGCCTGGCTGCTCAGCTTCTCCTCTGCACCTTAAAGACGACCTCAAAGCCCCTCCAGCTCCAACCCCTGTAGTTATACAACTAGTATAACTGCTGACTATATAAAGCTTCAGGGGGCTCTTTCACTAGACTGACTCAATAAAGCGAAGACTCAGGCTAGGAAACCACAGGGCACAGTACAGCACTGAGCAGGGTGGGTCCAGGAGCCCATTCGTACATTCACAAAACCTGCACCGGTTGGGTTGGAAGGGACCTCAAAGCTCCTCCAGCTCCAACCCCTGCCACGGGCAGGGACACCTTCCACTAGAGCAGCTTGCTCCAAGCCCCTGTGTCCAACCTGCCCTTGAACACTGCCAGGGATGGGGCAGCCACAGCTTCTCTGGGCACCCTGTGCCAGCGCCTCAGCACCCTCACAGGGAAGAGCTTCTGCCTAAGAGCTCATCTCAGTCTCCCCTCTGGCAGGTTAAAGCCATTCCCCTTGGCCTGTCCCTACATCCCTTGTCCCAAGCCCCTCTCCAGGTTTCCTGCAGTCCCTTTGGGAGTTGCATTCTTTTGATTCTCCTCCCCATCCCTTCGGGAGCAGGGAGGAGGGGAAGAAGGGGGGGGAGTAGAGAGTAGACTGCATGGCTGACTTGCCAACAGAGTTTAAACCATGGCAGAAGCACATCCCTCATCCTCAAAACTAAACATAAAGGAATCCTCAATCAAGTATGTGCCTGGAGGCTGGACTCAGAAGAGGGACAGGTCTACTTTTTTGCTGCAGGGGGACAGAGCATCTTCTGAGCCACTGACACTCAGCAAAGCCTGTTAATAATATGTATATATAGACCAGCTTTCCTTTAAATCAAACGCCACTGGTCACCAGCACAGTGATGCAAGATGAGGACAGTGGTACAATGAGCATAAAGTATTCCAAAATCTCGACTCATTACCTCAAAAAGGTTGGGTTCAGCTAAATAAGCATGAAGAAAATAAGTATTAGACCCTTATTCTCTTTCTTTGAGCCTTGAGGATGCACTTTCTCCTCATGTATCAGAGTCCTTATGCAAGCCCATCTACAAGTACCTGTGGTAGCCACACCATCCTCATGCAGCTGGTGCAGCAGTTCCAACCCCTCTTCAGTGCCACAAGAACACAACATCATCTGCTCCAGCAACCAGGTCTACTGCTGAGCCTTACCCATGCCTGCTCACTGCCAAGACAGCACAAGCCTGGATGCAATGCATGTCCTCTACAAGGGGCTGAGGGAGGGGAAGAATCAGGGATGTGCTTCAACAAGTGCTTGATCCCAAGGCCCTTCCCTGCTAGAGAAACTGCTGAGACTCTGTTGTCTGAACCCCCACCAGACATTGACACAGGACAGCTTCCCCATGAAAAGGAGCTCCCAACCCCAGTGCTGTGGTCCCACAATTCCCACCACCCCCGATAGCAAATCCATCCCTTTGATCTTTTCCAGAATAAAAGGCTAAAATGGAACAGATTGTTCCCTCTAAATGCAGGAGGGGGAAGGAGCAAGGGCGAGGAGGAGTACAATGGGCCTGCTAGGTTCAGCTCAACCATAAGAAAGTCTTTTTAACTTCTCTTAATGAGGACTACTTTTTCCAGCTACTACCTAATTATTGCAAATTGCTTCATCTTTTAATTGTTACTGCAAGGCAACTAAACATTGTTACGTTGATTGCTCAAGAGTGGATTGTTAATGGCTTTAATCATTTGATAATCCAGTAATACAATCAATGTAACACTGCACCTTGTAGGAAGACGTTTTGGATCTGCATATGGGAAACATATATTGCCTTACCATATGTCAGCCTCCGTGGGCCGGATCCTGCCTTCCTCAAGTGCAGCTGCACTCTTAGACAAGACTGTTCCTGCAGCTTCCTGTGGGAACACTCAAGTAGCACTGACTCATTTCAGATAGCCAAAGGTAGGGAAAGGAAGAGCCTATGGAACTGGGGTCTGTGTCACAGATGGATGATGCATTGTCAGGGAGAGAAGGGTAAGTTCACACCCATGCAGCTGGCACCAGGCTCTTGCTAAGACACAGATTTCTGCTGTAGAGCATGTTTTCTAAGGAGGGTACTGCGGCTCCAGAGCTGATGAGGGCGCGGATGGTGCAAACTGCCTGCGGTGGGAAGAAAGGAGGTGGCCAGGACTGATACTGGCATTGATGTAAAGCAGGGGACCCTCTTTCAGGGGCCTCCAGTTAGTAAGACCAAGCTACTTGAGCAGGGCATCAGAGAGGAGCTGTGTTTCTTACCTTCATGTCTCCGGTCTCACTGTTGCTCAGGGCTGATCCTGTCAGTTGAGGTCTGATGCTGCTGGATTCAGGGCATCCCTGCATCCTCATTCAAAGTGGGACCACTGCTGTATTCTGTAGGGAGTCCCAGAGGAGAAAATCAGACTGTTTGGAGAGACTGCTCTTACACAATTTAAAACCAACACTGTTTGCATCTTAAGTAGCATTTAGCCCTCACTACGTAAATCTTGACCCCACTGGCATTAAGAGCCTTCATTATTTTGCCAGCAGAAACTGTTGGCACCCTGATGTTTGGCTGCCCCGTGGGCACAATCACCCATGTGGGTACATGGCCACCTCCACCAGCTGGCTAGGAGTCCCTGTCCTAGCTCTGAACCCAAGCCTAAGCACTGAGCCAGGCATGGCCGTTGCTCCTTATGCAGAAAGGAGGACAGAAGGTTATGTGCAACACCCAGGAGATGCTGAGGCACACAGGGAGATGGGGGTGACAGTGCTAGCCAGGAGGAGCTCTGCATGGAAGTGAGGGCATTTCTGGGCTGGAAAGAGCTGTTTCTGCCCATCACAACAGAGACTTTGGCCATGTCACTCTCAGCCAGACTTTCTGCTTCAGACTGAGCACTTCTGGAAGCTCAGTTGTCCACCACGGATGCAGGACAGGCCAGGCCACTCCTTCCCTCTACTTTGGCTCCATGCGACTGGGAACAGTTCTCTCTGGGGACCATGGGAGCCCCCCAAAAGGCAGCTTTAAGGCATAAAACCAACATTGGAGGGTGAATTCCTTCAGTATCATGGGGAGAGAGAGAAGGAGGAGCATCACCTGACACAGGCTCAGTCAAAAAAGTCAGCTCTGACAGACAGCAAGGGGACTAACAAACTAAAGGGTTGCTTTGATTTAGTCTTCAAGGAAAAGGAGACAATTAAGAGGCTATGTAATTCAATAACATCAGGCAAAGGAGCTGTCATAGGCAGAGGAAGGAGCACTAATGTGCTGATAGCCCACAGAGGAGCAGGACAGAGCCAGAGGGACTAGCATGGGGTGAGATGACCCATGGCTGGTACCCAGGACCTCAGGGAGAATGTTTCACAGGAGGATGAGGGGAAATGAGGATAATCACAGATCAGCTTCTCTGATTTAACCCCAGATAAAAGGAAAGGGCATTTAATGAATCATGCAGGGGGAGTACCCAATGCAAAACTAAAGATGTTGACAGGCAGGCAAGCCCCATCCAGGGCAAAGCTTGCCTTAGCAATTTAGCTCCAACTTCCCCAAAATGGCCACAAGATCAGTAGGATTCATTTCTAGTAAGACTGGGGACATATTTTCCCATCATTGGTCAGGGAACAGGCTGACGTTTGCTAGCCAGGGATCTGCAGCGTCAGCAAGGACCAAAATGGAGAGGATGCTCCCAGAAAGCATCTCTCACAATGGCAAATGGAGCAGCACCCAGCACTGGCAAGCAGCAGTCACCTCAAGCAGGCGTGTGAAATGCAAGCTGGTTCTGGCAGTCAGAAGCATGTAACTGAATCAGTGCGATTTCTCTTTCCTCTGCCACCTCTCCTTTTTCTTACAGGCAACTCCAATCCCCAGCAGAGTGAGGAAAAGCTGCTAAAGATAAGCTTTTGTGAGGGGCAGAGCATCTGGCTGCAAGGTGAGATGACCCAGGGCCTGGAACTGCCGGAGGAGGTGCGAGATGCTGCCATCCAGCCCAGCACCAGGGACTTGCCCCTTCGGGTTATCCCTTGGCTCTAGGGACCAGCCTCATCACCACCAGCTCTGCACAGCCTCTGCAGACTGATTCATCACGAGCAGAAAGGCAGGGACTCTGAACAAGCTGCTGATGTGATTTCCATAGGCGGACCAGAGAGCTGCTGAACACAGCCATCATCTATACAAACCCAAGACCCTGGGCTGCTGGGTGGGAAAGCTCTGGGGAATCTCACTGCACAACCAAGGCCTTGGAGGTTTGACAATGCAATAGGATATTTCAACTTCAGACGTTTTTTGTGCCCATTGATATTGGCAGCTCCTCAACAGACAAGGGCTCAGAGACCATCGTGTCAGATACTATATCTATCATGAGGCAGATCCTCGGGCAGGTGGCTGGAGCTGCACAGATCATCATTTTTTATCATCAAAACATCATCTGGCTCTTTGCATCATGTAAATAAAGACGAGCTACAAGAACAAAGATACGCTGCTGATTAAAAATACATGTGCATGTACCTCAACAGAGTCCAGTGGGCAGCAATGTTAAGTGGGGTCCCACTGAGTGCCCTGCGAGGTCAATAGGATTCAATCGGTTTATTAACAACTTGGAAAGCAGAGCAGGGGCATGCTAATCAAATCTGAGCATCTTCCCAGGATGGGAGGGGAGCAAATAATTTGCAGGACAGAAATAAAATACAATAGGAGCTTGATAAATTGAAGAAGTGGCCTGCAATCAATACAGAGGGATTCAGCAGGACACATGCAAGAGATTAACACATAGGAAGGAATAAACAAAAGGACAGAGGGTGTATGGAGATATCTGGCCAAACAGCTCCACAACAGAGAGTGGTCTGGGAGGGAGGGTGATGATCGATTGAACAGAAGTCAATAACATCAGGCTGCTGCAAGCCAGCAAGGTAATTATTCTGCTCTTCCCAGTGCTCTTCAGGCTGCTGTTTGAAGCAGCACACCCAGATCTGGGCATCACGTTGGAACAAAGGCAGAGGAGCCGGAAGGAGTTCAAAGAGCAGCAGAAAACACCAAAGACACAGGAAACAAAATTCGTTGTGTGCCTGTGAAAAGTGAACCGTGAGACCCGACTCTGCTTTTGTTCCCTGCCATTCCCAGGGCCCTGCTGAGGTGGAGGAGCTACAGCCCCCAGGAGCTGGGGCTGGTCTGAAGTCAGTGTCAGACAGCACGGGGAGAGACATGCTATAAATCGGGATGCTGCGGATGGACTAAAGGGATGCAGCAGAGATGCGGGTGTTAATTAGGGATCATTTTGCCCTTGGTAAGATTGCAGCATCGGGCCAAAGTTCCAGCAGAGGGAAATTAGGGGAAATTTGACTCTTTAGTGTTTGTGAAACAGTGACAGATCAGAACCTTCCTCTTGGGTAGGGCTGAGAGCAACCAGAACACCAGCAAAAAGAAGAAAAAGGGGGTCAGTGGGAAAAGCACACCATAGAGAGCCAAAAGAAGCTGCAGAATCACCTCGGTTGTAAATGCTTTACCTGCCAGGTCTGAAACAAGCCCCATCACACTCAGCTCCTGCCGAGCCTTCTGAAGAAGGATGTCCCCACACTGCAGCAAGCCCAGCAACCCCACATGAACAGGACTGAGGCTCAACTACCCCTCTTTTTAAGTAATGCATTACATATGTACTGCTCCCACTGCCATCAAACCTGGCTGCACTTAAAGCAGAAACGAGCTCTCCACCCCTCGGTGATGGCTCAGAACTGTCAGAAATCAAAGCTGCTTGGCTGCAGCTGCAGGAAGGACCCACAGGAGCTCCCTCCACCCCAAACAGCTCTCCCAGGACCCAGAGCTGGAAGAGGGAGCAGGAGCTGGAGGAAGGCAGTGCCTGGAGAGGAGCCAGAGCATCGCTCAGTGCTCCGGCATGGAGACAGAGGTCTGCAGCTCCGCAGCACAGTGTGCAGGCTCCTGCCAAAAGCCCAATTGCACCATCTGCCAAATTAATATCCCTATTTTTAATATCTCCTTTAAAGGGGAACACTGGGGGGGGGGGAAGGAGAGAAATATTGAACACCACCACCCTGATTAGATTTCTAAGCTCTGCAAGGAATCGCACCAGACATCGGGTCTGCTTCTTTCCCGTCCTCCTGCGATCAATCCTCTCTCCAGAGGTGCAGAGCTGCTGGGTCGAACGCAGGGAAATGCACCACTGAGCACCATGCTGCTGCTGCCACTGCCGCTTAGCAAGGAGAGGAGAGCAGGGAGGTTGGAGGAGATGAATCAACATGGTTCATTTCGTTGTGAGGAGCTGTTGCCCTGTCCTATTTCCATCCTGTGAGCAACGCCAGCAACCTTGCCTCTTCTAGGAGGCACGCAGGAATTGCAGCCCAAACATGAAAGGGAAAGGGGTGAAAGTGGAGGAGAAGGACGGATAAAGATGGGAAATCCCTCTGGTGACCAGGAATTAAATGCACAAGCCATGTGTCAGGAAGGAGACAGCCTGTGGAGCGGGCAGCAGCAGTTGATGCTGCATTAGCAGGGGACCGCAAGCAAGAGGCAGATGCTGGGAGCTGTGGCAGCATTAGCAACTGCTGCCGGCTGATGAGCAGGGCTAGGGCCTGATCCTGGCTCCCAGCCAGCCACAGGGTTCCTCTTCCAAGAGTGGCACCTCCGGAGGCTTGCCCAAGCAGCTCCGGGCTGAGCGGCAGCCACCGCTGCTGATGCTAATGGAATTAAACATTAATATGCTAAAGAGAACCAAGAGTGAGAGAGGGGCTTGGATTCCTCTAGGTAGCAGACATGTCTGAGGTTAATGCCTGCCAATTCTTATTTGCTCTGCGATGTCAAAACCCATGTCCTTATTAGCTAGCCCATTAGTCCCCCGAGGCTGGTAGCCCATTAGTCCTGTCCTGGTCCTCGCCAGCACTTAATGCTCTCAAAGAGACTGCCACCAGGCAGAGTGCCCATAGCCAACCTGTTCCCACCTACATCCCAACTAGGAGCCCTTGCAAGGACCAGCCTGGGTTATGAGACCTGGCCAGGGCTGTTACAAAGCCAGCCTCAAGCAAAGTGCTCACACAGAGCAGGTTTTACCTTTGCCACCCTGGTATGGTGGCAAGCAGGGCCATCCTGCCGTGTTCTTTGTGTTATGAAAGGTGAGGTAGGCTTTCTCACCTTCCCCTTCCACCTGCAAAACATTCTGGGTCTGCTCTGATTCCCTCATCATTGACTTTACACTGCGGCTCCCATGGGACAGGAAACTTCTCTTCTGTTTGCCCGTAGAACACGGCTCTGCACATAATTAGTAGTAATAATTAGAAGGCATAACTATTAGAGACAAAGGATTACCAAACCACATCAGGCTGTTAGTCCATTAAGCTCAGCATCTGGTGCATGTATGAGCACATGCAGTGAGAGATCTCCAGCTGTGGCTCCTGCTGACGGGGCAGCAGCTCAGGGCACCTTGCACCAGCACAATGTTTGCCCTGTCCGCTCTCATCACTAGAAACAGAGATTTGCTGCCAACGGGTTGTGAAGCACTTCACCACTGAGACCTGTATCATCATTTGCAAGACAGGGGAACTGAGGCACGCAGGGAACCATACAATGGGGCTTGACCAGCATCAGGCATCAAGCTGGGAATGTAACCAGATTTTCTGCAGCTATTTCCCAGCTTTAAATTAATCCTAGGATAAGATTAAAAGAGTGAATAGCGCTTCCTTCACCTCCCCCCAAGAGGGGAGCTCTTCACTTTCATAGCTTTCTTACATTTCTATGGCAGGCCACAGCAATGAGATAGATTTCCTCCTCCTACAATCATGAGAGTGAGTGCTCCAAGCTCAGTTTGGAGCCACGTGTTCAGTGTGGATAACTTCCCAAAGAACGATTGCCCAAGACACAGGGATGTAGATAGGAAATTTGCTCCAGGACCAGTTTCTTCTTCCTCCAGAGTAAATATTTCCCCCCTCTGCAGGCAAGATCCTTCTGTTTATTTCTACTCCCAGACCTCAGATTTAGCAAGGCGCTGAAGCAGGTACTTGCCTTTAATCAGGCACATTAGTCGCCCCATCGAAGTCAACGGGGGCTTCTTAGGTGCTTAAAGGGAAGAATGTGCTCAGAGTGTGCTGCTAAGCCAAGGGAAGTGGTGGTTGATGAAGACAGAGAAAAAGCAGCCAACAAATGAACCAGAACCATCTGCAAATGACTCCCAACTGGGCAGGCTCCCTTCTATCTCCTTACACTGCTTTGCTTGCCGAAGAATTCGTCATTATGAATACAGAGCTCCTGCTGCTGCTACTGCTTTTAAACGGTGCTTAGGAGCGGTAAACCCTCAGGGTATGCTGCAGACACAGCCAGGGCACCCCGCTTGGGCAATTCCAGCCTGGCATGGAGGGCTGGTGATAGGAGGAAGGTCAAAACACAGCTTTGGTCCTGGTGAGGAATAATCCCTGAGCCATTATATGGGGAAAACTGTGATGGAAACATTCCTACTTGAGTTAGGCTAGCCCTAACTCAAACCGAGGCCCAAACATACAGGTGATGTCCTCCAGGAGCAACTGGTATTCATGCAATAGGACAAACACCATGCAGCTCTGCATCCCATGCCATTATCCATGCTCTTCCTTGGTTGGGTTGTAACCCATGTGAGAAGTGTTTCTCTAGAAGTCCTCCCTCAACTACTCTACCTGCTTTGTTGAGTGGGTCCCTCCACCAAGTGAGCAGCTCAGAACCAGTGTGTGGTTAATTGGATCTGTTAGTTTGATGCAGTCATTACCCTGTGGTTTGCAGATCACCATGGGAAGATGCTTGAGGACACGTGTGAGTGAGCACCGTGCCTTGCTCAGCCACCGGCAACCCTTAGAATGAGCACCTGCTACAAACGGTGCTTCCTAAAAGCTCAACATCCATGTTTTACAAATGAGCCCTTAAAAATTCACCATTTCCTGCCAGTAAACTACCATGAAATATTCACAGCATTCAAAGGGGATCTGAATGCAAAGCAGTCCTTTTTCAGGTGAGAAGCTGCTAAAGACGATACTCCAGCTCTGGTCCGGGGAGGCAGAGCTGTTTCGCAGGAGCTCGTGCATGTTCTCCATTGCACTTTAAAGACATTATAGGTGGCAGATTGATTTTTATTAATTATATCTATTGCAGCAACACCTAAGGCTGATCTGGTGTTGCTCTTCTATTGTGTAGGAGTAGCAAATAATGAGATTATCAGGTTGTGTACTGCCTCTGAAAGTGCTGTATTTGGGACCTGCGTAATTTGTTGCAATGTACCCTGTAGACAGTATTTATCAGAGCAACACAAAAAGAATCCATAATACACAGCCAGCTGCTGCTGCCTCCATGGGATTACATTCAGGGGAACACTAAAACAAGTTTCAGTGTCCTTCTCCATCCACTGCAGCGCAAAGCACCCCTCCTGGCATCCAGCACCCGTGATGACAGTGCAAGAGGTGGTGGTGATGAACTGCACCGAATGACAGCTCCAAACACCCACAAACCAGCTGGGGAGCAGCAGCCCCACTGTTATCTTCAATCACTTCACCCAGATACTTGCCTTTCCTATGACAGGTACATACATGCCAGATGAGATGGGTATCTGTTCAAGAACAGGATCCGCTATGCACGAAAGTGCTGACGGAAGAGTGTAGAATTACCATTTAAATCCCACTTTAAGGAAAAAATGTCTTTTTTAATAAAATTTCCTTACAAGAGTCTCTCCTGTGTACACAAAGCCGAAGGGAGATTTCCCAAAGGGTGCAGCGGAGATTACAAGATACAGCTTAGGCTGGAGAATCAGGGGGTGGATGCTTTGAACTCAGGGGGGTTCTAAAAGCACAAGGGAAATTCTTCCAGTCAGCGAAATTCGCAGTGTTTTAATAGGGGACAAATTACTCCTTCTTTTTCTACCCTCTTCCCAAAGAATCCCAAACATTTCTCCTCCCTCAAATCATTCCCTAGTGAGAGCGGCAACAATACATCCCTGATGGTCTTAACTCCACCTCTGAATCTCAAAGCACTCGATAAAGCTACACAGGTTTCATGAGAGCTGTTTGTCAGGGGCAGGGAGAGGTGAAGTGACTTCACTAAAGAGCTAACCTAAGTAGCTGAATCAAAAGAGACCTTATTATAGTAACATGGAAACTTCGTTTGAGATGCCACGGTTTGACATCATCCCAAAAAATATAATGCTTCAGGGCATGACTCCTCAGCCATTAACGTTTGTGTAAAGCTTTCCATTGACATCGGTGGAAGCTGGGTCTGCCTTTTAAAAGCTATCCCTTCATCCACTCAGACAAGCCCGTGTTTTTTATCCTTCCCATTTGCAGCTGATGTTCCCCAGCCTGTTTGCTGGAAAGCGACAACTTTTCCGTTTTCACATCGAGCATCTTTCTTTCCGTGGTACGCCAGCCTGCTTGGGATGGCATGGCATGGCTCACAGCAAACGCTAACGTGACATGACAGGCAGATGCAACTCGCTGAGCTCTGCCTCAGCAGGACAAGCCAGGGAAGAAGTTTGAAGCAGCTTTTTTTCCAAGGAAACATGATGAAGATGGAGGAGAAGGGGAGGGATGAATCCCCCATTCCTGCCTCCAGTCAGAGACACCCGAAGTCTTAC